CCCCAAAACCCCAAAACCCCAAAACCCCATCAATCTAAAAGAATTCAAATTTAATAATGATAGAAATTATGATGTAATTTATCATCAGAGTTTTATAATGGGCTTCATTTATATATGAAGGTTCATTTGATAGTCACTAAATTGAGTATTTTTCATAAGATTAGCCTATTCATGTATGAAATTCAATTTGCTACTCATCTTCAAGCAAAGCTCTGCCTTGTAACTGTAAACTACTTTTGTTAGCAAAGCTACCCGGCCAATATTGGCTTGCTGATATTTCTTTAGGCAATAATCCAAGACATTTATATGCACTTGCCACTAGCTCAGAGCAGAAATAGGATTTGTCTCCCTTAATATTTTCAGCATCATTCTCAAAATGCTTTCTAAGAATCTTTGCAGCATTCAATTTATATTTCATTCCAATCACAGTCCTAATGAATGTTTCAAGCTTTCCCATGTTGTCAATATTCCTCTGATGCCTTAGCTTCCTGTAGGCTAGCTTCTGATACAAATTGTGCCAGTTATTCTTAACAAATACATCCCAATCTAACACTGCAACACCCTATTTTTATCAGATATCAATAACTACTTACAGTGGTCCCAGTTGATTCAAATATCACCAATTTACCATTACTGTATCTTAGCAACATCGCTACATGATCATATTCACTCATTGTTATTGCTCTTTGCACTTTTGTAACAAATGAAGTACTCTAAAATAGAAGTATATCGCCAGTGTCAGCTAATCTTCTGAAATCACTTTATTTTATAATGTCTATCTGTATTAAATTGAATTAAGTACTAGTGCTTACCTTCCAGAAATTAGAACTTAACAAGCCATGTGAATTAGAAAGTGTAAAGCTCTTGCTTGAATTCCAATTAGAATAAAGTGCTTGAGTCCATCTTCTTAAATGTGAACTAGTAGGTACCTTGAATATAAATTGTCTTTTACATCCTATAACTTCTATCCTGAATTTTCTCAAGTCCTATGGATTACTATTATCCTCTTCATCACTAGATTGCTCATCATCTTCAATCATAATCACAACTTAAACTCTATCAAAGTCTATTATGCCTCCAAGCTTCTTCATTGATTTGTCAGAATAGTATTTGAATCTCTTATTCCTGACAATTGCATAGTACTCTTTATATTTCTCTTGTTGATATTTGCTATTACTTTAAGATCTCTTTTTAAATACTAACCCTTACATCGTCAGGAGGGAAGCAATTAATGCTTCCTCCTTCTCAATAACTTCACAGTCATCCTCTTTTTGCTCTTCAACTGACTTCTTAGATTTATTACTGTCTAATTCAGATGTTTCACAATCCTTTACTGAATATTTCATTTCTTCACTATTACTTCCACCACTCCAATTTCCTTCTTCTGAGCAGGATGTTTAAGGCCTAGATTTGAATGTTACTGGTAAAACATCTGAAGATCTTCTCGAAGAATTAGAAGCTCTGTTAGATTAAGTGTCATCCTTTGATTCTTCATCATTCTGCTGATTACCTGGTTGTTAGAATCTTTGAATATTATACTTAAAGTTACGCACAATAGATTTCTTTGGTTAGATTTCACTTTGCTTTTGAATTATAGTCGATTAAGAATCTCCATTTTGTTAAGTATCGTTTTCATCCTAAATCTCAGATATTTTGCTAATAGTGGAAATATTAATAATTTTAGGGTCAACCACCATCATTATAGTAGGCTGTAAAGAATTGAATTAAATACTGGGATTATCAAGAGAGGGTTGAGATAATATATCACAACTGTCTTATTCATTTGTTGATGACTTAACGAAAGTTTTGTCTGAATTTACTAAAATGAATTCATTCTAAATACTGCTATTGATTAATTCTATTTTAACACATGGAAGTTCTCTGGTACACCTTTCCTCCTCAAGAATTTGAATATCTTTAAAATCTTTCCCTTTTGATTTTTCTATGAATGATTTTTAGGACAAAATAAGTGAAGCAGTCTTTTCCTAGAGTAATACATTTGTTGAAGCAATTTTCGCTAATGTCATTGCTTTGTATTCCTCCCTACCGTCATCTTAATTTTCTTAATTTTCCAAATCAATCAAAGGATCGATTTCAAGGACTTAAACTGGAGAATAAAATGAACTTTCTTTTCCATTTGGATTATTACATCTCGGCGTTATACTATTCATTTTCAATGTTGAGTCAAGATTTATACTAGTTTAGTTATATGCAGGAGGTCGATTGAATATTTATAGCTGTTTATTCCCTTTTAAATTTGGAGTATTTGAACTGTTCAATTGTTGCATTAGATCAATCGTTGAACCATCACATGTGTATTCCTAATTTTAATTATTCACAATTTTACCCTTTTTCTTAGGAGAATATGAATTTGACTGGAACATGTTCTTAGATTTAGATCGCTAGCCTAACACTCCTTGCTTACTGTTTATCAATTTGTCAATCGGACTGGAGTTTTGATTGATTCTTTGATGCTTATTTACATCATATTGTTAGGCCATTGTGGATGCAGTTAAAGGTTTTTTTCCCTTATCAAATATATTTTTGCGGGAGAGATTCTAGCCAGAGGGTGATTTATTTTAGGTCATTTTTTATATGGCCCCAATTTTATAGAGAATTGAAGATTTGAAGCTAGTTGATATTGCATTGCTTTCAGAAATAACAACTGATGCAGTATTCGTCTCATTTTTTAACCTCATTTTAATAACAGATTTAAATAATGCAAATGTTAATTTTACAAAAGTAAATTCATTTACTCAATTATAATCTAGGCTTTCGGGGTTTTGGGGTTTTGGGGGGAACTCAAATAGACAAA